TTCTTCATCAGTGTATAATACTAATGAAGCACACATTTCCTTCAGGATGCACGCCATGCTGCAGAGGGAGAGATCTACACCAAACTGAACCAGAAGATCGATGAGTTTATCCAGCTGGCAGATTATGAGTGGGGCATGGCTGAGTCCGACGGCCGCGCCTCTGGATACCTCATGGATCTGATCAACTTCCTACGTTCTACCTTCCAAGTCTTTACACATCTCCCGGTGAGTCTGATCAATCAACTAGTACCCAACTGAAACTGTCTCCTCTATCTGCAAGAACCATGGGCTACCACGATGCATTCTTTAATGTTTTATTGGTGTTTTCAAGCGTTTGCTATATTCATTACACCATTCATTAAAGTGTGTGTCTTGTAAAATGTGATCCCGCAATGGGATCTGTATATATACTTTGCTGACTCAGACTGACATTACTAAACCTCTTAATGATAAAGTTGCAGTAGCGGGTTCCAGAAGGAACTGTTCAACTATGAACCTCTTTGTCTGCTCCTCTCTCCACCTCCATCATTGTTCTTAAGTTGTCTTTGTCTGCCCATCCACACCTTCTGTACTGGGGACTGATTTGTTTCACTCTTTTATTCTGTTAACTTGTACAGCATGCACAATATCACTGGTAGATTTTTACTTCCTCCTGTCCATTTATTGTTGCCACATTTCTTTTCCTGTCCTTTTCCTTCCTTCCCGCCCCTCCCCCCTCCTCTTCCATTTTTGCTTGGTTTTGGGGGTGTCTCTGCTCAGAATAACAACAATGACCATGCTTCGATGTCGGTGAGTATTCCTGCCTGGCTGTTAAAATAGTTTGCTGCCACTCGAACGGCAGAGGGGGAGATGTCCTTAAAAAATAAAAGCATGCTCATATTTGTCCGTGAAACTTCCACAGTTGTGTTTAATGTTATATATGTCGTGTGAATGGCTCAGAAAAAAGAGCCATCAGTCACTGTAAATAAGTATTAATGGGTCAAAAATAATCTAGTAATTAACCATGAATAAGCAGTTATTGCTTAAGGGTAGGGTGGTCCACCTGTAGGACGCTCTGCGCTTTTTCTCATCATTTGTTTCTCAGGATGTTTATGAATTGCCAGCATGAAGTGACAGGAATTTAAAATTTAAAACACACCCGTCCTTTTTGCTTCTCTCAACCATAACTATCTGAGATTAAATCGTTGTGATTGTATCATATCAAGTCTACCACCTCATCCTCATAGGAGCTTTTTGCATGATATATTCGAGAGTGACTGGTGTTGATTTGCTCTTTCTGTTCACCATCTCACAATTTCACTCTTGCATTTAATTTGACAAATATCAGGAGTCTTACATTGATATTAGGTCGTGCCAACGTTTGGATTATTGTACGTTTACTGTCTTTGACTGAACTTGTGTGTGGTCTCATATGCATGTGTTAAGCTGCCTGGGATTTTTCATCACATTTTATTTTTGCCATCCTCCTTGTGTTTTGATTTTCTTCAGCCAATCATCCAGTTGATTTGATATTAAATTGGCTATTACTATTCCTGCATGTCAAGGCAATAAAGCAACAGCCAAAATGTTCCTTACTCTCAATTATTGCTGTAAAAGTCACATGTTTGTACAGAGCAGGCAGTAACAATCTGCCATGAAGGTACAGATAAAGGAGGACTTGATTTGGTGGGTTTCTTTCTTTTTAA